TTTTTTTTTTTTATCTTGGATAGATTTGGGAATATCCCTTATGGAGCCATTAGAGGATTTCGAGCACCATTCCTTATGTTTACCGAGAACATGTTCAAGGTTCTATACATCAGCAAATTTACTTACGACCTGTCCTGGCCGGCTAATATTAGGTTTGATGAGCTTGGCCCTATGTACCCCTACACCCTGGATTACAAGTCAACTCAGGTTTGCCCTACCAGTCAACAACCATGCCCAAAAATGTCCTACCCCGGCCTCTGGGAGATTCCAAACGTCAATCTCATGAACAAAGACCACACTACTTGTGGTTCTATGATGGACGCGTGCGATCCTAACGGCAATGAAACGGTGTGGTATGATATTCTGGTGAGAAACTTTCACTACCACTACGATACAAACCGAGCTCCGTTCGGAATGCATATGCACCCGTCGTATTTCTATTGGGGCCCTTCGGGTGACCACATGGACGCCGCCAAGAAATTTCTCAAGTATGCCCAAGATTTGGGCGATGTCTGGATTTTGACGGGTTCCCAAGTGATTGCGTGGATGAAAGATCCCCAAGATATTGCGCAAGCGAAAAGTTTTCCACCATGGATGTGCCCGACTCGTTCTCCCCCGAGATGCACGGACTCCACAGCCAACGACTGTCACTACACCAAGCCTCAAGATTTCTACATGAAAACCTGCACCAAGTGTCCACCGCATTTTCCATCACCTACTGATCCAGATGGAAATTAGACTGAACATGAACATTCCAAGGACCGACAATTAGTAATGGTGACAAGACTGAGTGGAGTCCAATTCGGTCTCTAATCATACGAGTGATTAACAAAATCGGACGACCGCGTAGCGGGAGTCCGATTTGTTTTAAATCACGAGTATGATTACAGACCGAATTGGACGACACGAAGTTCTAGATCTGTTACCAATTAATCATAACTGTAACAAAATTTGTGATATGATAGACTATTTTTTAAATCAAAACACAAGAAATTCCAAATTTTGTTTTGCTAGCAGTGAAAAAAAAAAAGCCATTTAAGCGCGCGCGTGAGGGCGCGTACTGTCCTATTAAACTGTCCAATTAAGGCTGAAATCAGGGCAGTTGATAGCCAATCAGATTTGAAAATTTTGTTTTAGTTATTATTAACATGATTAACTGACAGAAATTTAATCAAGTGACCTAATAAAGTAGTTTTACTACCGTGAAAAGGTTGAGAAGCTGACGTTTCGGCTCAAGTATGATCTCTCGTCAGAGAAAACCCTCAGGGCGGATTCACTCTGACGAAGATTTCAGGCTCGCGAAACGTGAGCTATTCAATCTGTTGATAACTTGACTGTATTCTCTCAGTTGGTAAAACCAATTTTATAAGTCAATCCCCCACGGACGAATGACCACAGTCACTTTTCTTCGCACTCAATTCCGGGCAGTAGTTGGATAACATTAAACATTAGCAGTACATAATATGATCTTTAAAATCAGAGTTTTCCGCTTTTTATTTTGGAAATAATTTTGATTAGCGCTATAATAAATGTCAAAAGGGTGAGTTTGATCGTCCGGGTGAACGCAGTCCTGAATAGGACTGTTGTTTTTGACAGTGACTGACGTTTCGACAACCTGTCCGGTAGTCATTTGTGTTCGCTCGAAGAAATATATTCAACGTCATTATTTGACACGTTAAGAAGTTCTTCAGTTCTGAAACTCCAAAAAGTAATTTTATGCTTCAATCTACCCACAAAATGGCAAACCTTACTCAGAATGAAATACGTGCTGTGCTCTGTAAGCAAGCGCGCTAGCTGTTTCTGAACGAAAAATATTTCTGAAAAAGGAGAAAAATTATCTCGCACGTTTATTACCGAAATCAACTCAAGTATCTACAGTCGCCTTAACCAGGGCGGACTGAAAGGTTGGGCGGTGAAACGAGCTCGTCCGAGCAAAAAGGTGTGATGCAGTGGACTGGGACTCTGCTTAGAAATGTCGCTTGTTTTCGACTTCGGTAAGGGCTTGCGATGTGGTTTGTACATTAGACACTGCCGTTGTCACTGAATTACGGCAGCTTGAGTTGTTTTCTTGCACTTCTTCCTCGTTCCTTTGTGCTGGTACGCTGTCTTCGAGAGGCAAATGTTGCTATTTTTTGCTGGAGGTTTAGTTGGAGTAGACAAACATCTCTTTCAAAGGGTTTCTTTTATTACTTCCATGACTCTACCACTGAATTATATTTTCGTTCTGCTACTCGCCAATGTCGATGTTATTCCAAAACAAAAACAACTAAGTACTGTCTAAAACAGGAAGGAAAATCTCATCCATGTAATCCATGGCAAAACTAAAAGACAGCAGATCGTGTTTCATAACTAGATGACGTGTATTTTATAAATGCGTGCAGCTCGTTTCTTCGAAACTTCAAAATTAGTTTCCCCTCAGTTTTTATTGTTTACCTTGTTTTGTTTTAGAGAGAAAAACGGAGAAAAAACCTTACAACTAACCTCAATAAAGTTTGTTTACATGCGGTTGCCGGATTTGCAACGCTTTGGGCGAATCGCCATGGAGCGTTGCACCCGAGAAGCAAAGTTTGAAGAAGTACAACGCCACTATATCAATATATATCAATCTAATTTTTTGTTATGTTATATAAAATTTATCCCCCTTTAACATATGTAAAAATTGAGGTTAAGAATTGTTAAGCTTTTGCAAACCAAACGGCGAAAGACGATTAGGTGATATTTAGTGGAAGGAGGAGGTATTCAACACTTTCAAATTAAACTCAAATTTTGGCATTATACGACCAACAAGTTTGACTTATAGACGTACAAACACAAACATATAAAACTGTTTATTGATATTGTTATGAAACGAATTTATCTATTTAACATTGTAGCCTGAAATTACAGAAAGAAAATAGGATTTCCGGTTTGCAAAAAGGAAAATTTCGCCGGCCTTCAAGAGCACCGGAAGCGCGGAAAGAGCGCTCGTGCCAGTCCTACTCCGCATCACACATTAAATGAAGAGCGGAGCGCTCGTTTCATCGCCCAACCTTTATCCGCTCTGCCTTAACCTTGCGTGAGAGATGTGTGTTTGTTCAACCCGATTCATCGCATGAGTTCTTAGACGGCAAGAAGTAGAAAAAATACCTTGCACATTTATTATAGTGTGAAAGGTTTGAACCCAGGAGTCATTTCAAAAGGTTGAGTTTGATCGTCCGGTTGGATGTAGTCCTGAATAGCACTGTTGTTGCTGACAGTGACTGACGTTTCCACAACCTGTGCGGTAGTCATCTTCAGAGTCAAAGTGAGTTGTATCACGTCAGTTGATGATATTATACCCCGGTTATTGATCTGATTGGTCAATTATGTCGCGATGTTATTGGTCGTCTGTCAGTTAAGCCGTGATGTTATTGGCTATAAAGACTCGTAATCAGTGATTGGTGCGTTTCGATCCGTCTATTGTCACAGTTAAACAGTCGTCTATTGTTAGTCAAATTGTCAGTTCTCCAGTTGTTCTCTCGTAGTTAGTTTTGCTTGATCTCGTCAATAGGGAACTTAAGAACCACGACCAAGTTCACGACGACGACGTCTGTTGACTGGGAAAAGACTGGAACGAGAACGTCGGTTTCGGCGGGAAAAAGGAAAGTTAAGATGCGGTCGGTCGGTAGGTCGACGACGACGACACTGAATGTAAACACAGATGTAAAACTGTGATGTTCGTTCGCAACAAAGTTTTTCGCAATGGCGTCTTTCAAAACAACGCAAGATCTTATTTGTTCAAGCCGTACGTCTAATTTCATTGACGATGAAAAATTTTTTGTGCTGTCTGACCTTTTCGAGTGGAAATACACCTACTTTCCGTACGAAATTATTCAACTTTCAACTTGAATGAGATGGCCGAGTCCGAGTGTCCGTCAAAGTTTAGATTTCGAAAAAGAGACATTCTGATGTGATAGCTGTTTTCCATATAAAGTTTATTTCCTCTATATTAAAGATATATGATTTGCCTTACCTAAATACGTACAAATAAATTTATCACAATTCACTTACGAGTTCGCTCGCTCGGCCTGCTCAGCTGTTGCCATTCTTAAAAGGAAAATCAATTCATTAGTCGAATTTTCAATCAACATCGCTTGTTTGGAGAAAAAAGGAACGATACCTGGATTTAGAAGGACAAGAAAATGTAAAGGCCTTCAAAAATCGCTTAAAACAGTGGATTTATACCTGCCGAAGCTTGTGGATTGCAGGACGACGTGATTCTACTTTGTTTGGCGTCGTCGACGACACCACGACGACGAAATTTACTAGTCGCGCTTGCGCAGTACAGTGTAACTCACTTCCGGTCGTCGTCGACCAAGCCGTCGTCGTGGTTCTTAAGTTCCCTAATAAGTCGTTTGTACGGCGCTGGTAACTGTTGGCTACGATTCAGTGGCGTTCGTCCTAAGTTAGTAAACCAGCTTTCTAAAGTAAGACGTTGATAGTAGTCTGTAGAGTACGTTATACATGTCGCAGAGTCCCAGTCAATTTGATGTTTCGTCTTTAAATGGTGCTCAGCAATGTGATTGTTGACGTCACCATTCCTCGTCGCGTGTTTGTGTTCGGTCAGTCGCGTGCTTAGTTTTCTGCCGGTTTCACCAATGTAAGAAGCCTGGCAGTCGCAGCATTTGATCTTGTATACTGCTTGACATTAGTAAGCAGTCGCCGTAAAGTGGTTATCGGTTTGTGCGCAACACGTGTATTGTAAGGTTGTAATATACGTGCAATAGTTTCAGAGGTGCCTCTGATGTACGGTATAGTCGCTGTCGTAACAGGGACAGAGTTGGTCTGAGAGTTGGAATCAGTGTTACTGTGAGTGTTCCGTGTTGTAATTGTTCTTACTAAAAACGTTGTTAAGATAATCAGTCTCGTCTTGTAGGCTGTCAGGTGAGTCGCAAACTAGTTGCGCTCGTCTCGTCAGAGTCCGTATAGTAGTAGCCTTGTGAGAGGTCGGGTTGTACGAAGACTGGTCTAGTAATCGGTCGGTATGTGTCGGTTTTCTGTAAATAGTCGTTTTTAGTTTGTTGTTGTCGCGAGTGACCAAGCAGTCTAGAAAAGGTATCTTACCATTTTCTTCGATCTCCTTGGTGAACTGTATGTCCACGTTCTGTCTGTTAAGGTGTTCGTGAAAATCGTCGATTCCGTCTTTGTGTACGGCGGTGAATGTGTCGTCAATGTAACGTAACCAAAGAGGTACAGTTCGCGTGTAGGTAGCTAGGGCCTGTTCCTCGATGTTTTGCATGACAATTTCTGCTACAACAACAGAAACTGGAGAGCCCATAGCTGTATCGTGTAACTGTTTGTAGTGTTTGCCGTTGTACTGAAAGTCAAACAGAGGTTGAGTAGGTCCATAATGTCGTCTGTAGGTAGTGGTAGTTCAACAGTAGAGTTTTTAATAGCGTTCTCAGTACAGTCTAGAGCCAGTTGAAGTGGAATACTGGTGAACAGCGATTTCACGTCAAAGGACACTAGTTTGTGGTCGTCCGGTATCTGCATTGTCTTAATGGCGTCAATAAAGTTCTCAGTAGACTGTAGTTTGTGTCTAGATTCGTCAGTCAGCGGTTTCAGTACGTTAGTTAAGTATTTAGACAGTTGGTAGGTTGGGGAACCATAGAAAGAAACTATGGGCCGCATAGGTATGTTGGGTTTGTGTAGTTTTGGTAGTCCATATAGCTTGGGTGGCTGCGGAACACTACACCTCAGTCTGTTGTAGCGTCGAAAGTCGATCTTGTCGGTTTTCTTCAGTGTAAGCAGTTTGCTGTTAAGTTTGCGTTGCAGTGCGGGTGTCGGGTCTCGTTTAAGTACTTCGTAGGTCTGTTTGTCGTTAACAAGTGAGTCCCTTTTGTCGTTGTAGTCTGTCTTGTCCATAACAACAGTCACCCGTCCCTTTTCTGCGGGTAGTATGACTATGTTCTCGTCTTTTTTCAGTCGTTTAAGTGCTTTGTGTTCGTCAGAAGTCAAGTTAATGTTCGGTAATGAGGCTGATTGCAGAGTAGAGGTCACTCTACTTCTGATGTTATCCTTGGTCGATTCTGATGGCTCGTGTTGGCGAGACAGAACGGCCTCAACGCTAGATACAATAGCCTCAGTAGGTATTTGTTTAGGTGTCACTGAGTGTTTAAGTCCGTAAGAAAGTATTTGCGTTTCAGTCTCGTCTAAGGGACGGGAAGAAATATTCCAGGGGCACCGAACGACAATTTTCGGAAGAATATCTGTTCGGAAGACGATTTTAGATCTAGAATTTTCGGAACATTTGCTGTAAAATTTCTTGCTTGCTTGCCTCTCCTATGATTTTCGAACATCAAAAAAATGGTATAACTGCCTATTTTTAACGGATTTTTACCCTAAAAAGGTCACCTAGAATTTTCGGGAGCCTTTTTTCTCGCTGAAATTTTCGAAATGGTAAGTTTTGATCCCTATAATTTTCGGAGCACTATGCTTTCAGCTAGGAAATCCGAACAGATGAAAAATTTTTAGGGGATAAAAATATGCCGATATCTACCGTTTAAATACTAAAATACGTTTAACAGTGCTATGTTTAAGTGGATTTGAACTATATTCTCGTTGGGTGCCCCTAATATTCCTGACCCAGTTAGCGTCGGGTTTACGTCGTTCAGCGTGTTTTGTGTCTTGCAGTCGTATCAGTTTTCGTTTCGTTTTCGCGCGGTGCTGTTCAGCTGCCTTGTCAGCGCGTTTGTCCGCAATAGTTGATTTTCACGAACACCTTAACAGACAGAACGCGGACATACAGTTCACCAAGGAGATCGAAGAAAATGGTAAGATACCTTTTCTAGACTGCTTGGTCACTCGCGACAACAACAAACTAAAAACGACTATTTACAGAAAACCGACACATACCGACCGATTACTAGACCAGTCTTCGTACAACCCGACCTCTCACAAGGCTACTACTATCCGGACTCTGACGAGACGAGCGCAACTAGTTTGCGACTCACCTGACAGCCTACAAGACGAGACTGATTATCTTAACAACGTTTTTAGTAAGAACAATTACAACACGGACTTTGTTAGACGAAACACTCACAGTAACACTGATTCCAACTCTCAGACCAACTCTGTCCCTGTTACGACAGCGACTATACCGTACATCAGAGGCACCTCTGAAACTATTGCACGTATATTACAACCTTACAATATACGTGTTGCGCACAAACCGATAACCACTTTACGGCGACTGCTTACTAATGTCAAGGACAAAGACAAACCGGAGGACAGACAGGGAGCAGTATACAAGATCAAATGCTGCGACTGCCAGGCTTCTTACATTGGTGAAACCGGCAGATAAAAACCTAAGCACGCGACTGACCGAACACAAACGCGCGACGAGGAATGGTGACGTCAACAATCACATTGCTGAGCACCATTTAAAGACGAAACATCAAATTGACTGGGACTCTGCGACATGTATAACGTATTCTACACACTACTATCAACGTCTTACTTTAGAAAGCTGGTTTACTAACTTAGACCAAACGCCGCTGAATCGTAGCCAACAGTTACCAGCGCCGTACAAACGACTAATTGACGAGATCAAGAAAAACTAACTACGAGAGAACAACTGGAGAACTGACAATTTGACTAACAATAGACGACTGTTTAACTGTGACAATAGACGGATCGAAACGCACCAATCACTGATTACGAGTCTTCATAGCCAATAACATCACGGCTTAACTGACAGACGACCAATAACATCGCGACATAATTGACCAATCAGATCAATAACCGGAGTATAATACCATCAACTGACGTGATACAACTCACTATGACTCTGAAGATGACTACCGCACAGGTTGTCGAAAGGTCAGTCACTGTCAGCAACAACAGTGCTATTCAGGACTACATTCACCCGGACGATCAAACTCAACCTTTTGAAATGACTCCTGGGTTCAAACCTTTCACACTATAATAAATGTGCAAGGTATTTTTTCTACTTCTTGCCGTCTAAGAACTCATGCGATGAATCGGGTTGAACAAACACAAATCTCTCACGCAAGGTTAAGGCGACTGTAGATACTTGAGTTGATTTCGGTAATAAACGTGCGAGATAATTTTTCTCCTTTTTCAGAGATATTTTTCGTTCAGAAACAGCTAGCGCGCTTGCTTTAAATAATTACTTTTTGGAGTTTCAGAACTGAAGAACTTCTTAGCGTGTCAAATAATGACGTTGAATATATTTCTTCGAGCGAACACGAATGAAGCCGCAATACAAGCGACAGTCCGACAGTATGGATTGCTTTGAAGTTTGTATCCACTGGGAATTTGGCATCCGCTCACAGGTTTACATTCTGTCGGCCAATCAGGAATGCTGTTTACTGCGAATCTCAAGGGGTTGACGGCAGGTGGTTTTTCCCCTTTAGACAACACGGATACAAAAACAATTTCCGTTTTCCGTTTACGTCTTTATTGACTCAAGTTGCCATGCCTACTTGTTGATTGAGTGATTTTCGTTGGTATGCCTGTGGGAGCGGACGGACGGTCGGTCGGTCGGTCGGGCGGACGGGCGGGCGTACGGTCACATGACTACCAAAATGTCTCGGATGCATAGGTTACCAAATTTTCTTACCCACTGTGCTCCGCTTCGCGCGCTTCGCGCACGCGAGAGCTCCGCTATCAAGTCGAAAACAGTCGGCTGCGTCTTGTGTTTAAGTGTTTCAAAATCGATAAAACAACAATTCTCGTTTTTATCTGTGTAGATTCTTTTCTCGGCTTTTTAATATATTCCCCTTCTCGCCGACACCTTGCGAAATGGAAACTGGGAATAAAGCTGTATCAGTGTTGTCTGAGACTTACGACGTTGTTAGGGAGTTTATACAACGGTCTTTTTTTAACCGACGTTCGTTAACCGGAAGTGAGATCTTTTCCCTTTTAACAGCCCTTGGCGCTACCAAATTTGTATACCTACGCATCCTTACTCTTAAAGACACAATAGGGCCATTTATACGAGGAAAAATAAGACGCGTCTTACATAGGACGCGTCTTAAATAAGACGCGAACTTTCTGCATAAACGGCACATTTCGTCTAAAATAAGACGCGACTTAGCTAAGATGCGTCTTATTTTAGAACAGCCCTTAACACCTGTTCTTAGGTAAGACGCATCTTAGCTAAGACGAGAAAAACTTCGTATAAATGACCTTCGCGTCTTACAAAAGACGCGAACGCATGGTACGCATGCGTTAATTTTTGGCGGGAAAATTTTTGCGCCTTGTTGGTTGCCGTTGCTACTGGCAACACTCACATGAAAACGAGTCAAGAACAGAAATAAGACGCGAACCATTTATACGAGCTGTTCTTGTCTTAGATAAGACATGCTCGTATAAATGGTACAGTTCGCGTCTTATTTAAGACGCGTCTTATGTAAGACGCGTCTTATTTTTCCTCGTATAAATGGCCCTATTAGGGCCATTTATACGAGGAAAAGTAAGACGCGTCTTAAATAAGACGCGAACTGGACCAGTTATACGAGCATGTCTCAGGATCTAAGTCTTCTGTATACTACTTAAGCTGACTTTTAAAGTGTAAGTTTATAATACGAAGATAGCAATTTGATTAGTAAATATTAATAAATTGTGATAGTTTAAAGTTAAAGGGTCTGCTTACACCAGCAGATGTCACGCATTTGTCCAGGAAGTCTGTTATCGCCTTCTCTTTACATAATAACAAAAATCTTTTTCCTCCGCGACGGACCAAGCGGGGTAAGCGATAATTTTCCCGCAAAAAAACTAACGCATGCGTACTATGCGTTCGCGTCTTATGTAAGACGCGAAGGTCGGTTATACGAAGTTTTTCTCGTCTTAGCTTAGACGCGTCTTATTTAAGAACTGGTGTTAAGGGCTGTTCTAAAATAAGACGCGTCTTAGCTAAGTCGCGTCTTATTTTATACGAAATGTGCCGTTTATACGGAAATTTCGCGTCTTATTTAAGACGCATCTTAAGTAAGACGCGTCCTAATTTTCCTCGTATAAATGGCCCTATTATGCCTGAAAATTTGGGCTACAAACCAGTTCCCAAGGGTGCAAAATGTCCACTTCTGGTTGACGTACGTCGTTCAACAGCAGCTCCCTATTAGCCTGGCTAACAGAGTCGTACCTTTCGAAACACAGTCCAAACAAACACAACTCAGACCGAATCAGAATAAATCTATGTAAAATTTTTAAAATTGCAATTCAAAAATAAATTGGAAAGCTATAAGTGCTTTTAAGTACGTTTCAGAGTGAATCTTTTTGATTTATTAAAATTTTTGTTCAAAAGATAAGTTCCGTTACCGGTCTGTAACAAGAGCGAGAGCAAGAAAAAAAGGGCAACCTTTGCTTTCTTTTTCGCTCGTCCCGACTATCGAAGAGTTTGAACGGGACATTTGTATCCTGTTATGTCAAAATTAGTATTTTTACAATACAATGAAACCTGTATTAAGCGGACGCCCCCGCGGAATTCTGTAGTGTCAGCTTAATACAGGGTGTCCGCCTAATACAGGTTTCGATAGATAACGTCATCGCTGTCAAATGCCATTCAAATGAACAGTGGAAACGTTTAGAATACTCCCACACTATGACGATATACGTTTGCATTAATTTCTTTATTAAAGGGGACTTATTGATGATAGTACCATAAACATAGATTGCAACTCAAATTTGAAGAACTCAGATGAGTGAAACAAGCTCTATACAAACAAAACGAAATAGAAAACAACACTGTACTGTGAAACTAATCAAATCAGTTCGTCTAATCCCGTTTTTTAAAGTAAAAATATTGAAATTTGTGGGTGGCAATCTTTCGCATTTCCGGTGTCTGGCATGTTGGGTGGTGGAATTTAATTACAAGTGTCCGTTTAATACAGGTTGGCAACAATAGAAATTACCATTTCAGGTACTTTTTAGGTGTCCGCGTCCGCTTAATAGAGGTGTCCGCTTAATAAAGGTTTCATTTAAAGTAAATAAGGGAAATAAATTTGGGGACTTCGGCTACTGTCCGCTTAATAAAGGGTGTCCGCTTAATACGTTGTCCGCTTAATACAGGTTTCACTGT